AGCATGAAAAAAAGTACACAGCCAGCAGAGCTGTATAATTTAAAAAGACGTGCTCAAAAAGGTATTCCCAATGTCTAAAAAATGTTTTGAATCTAACTGTCTCTTTTCAACAGGTACGTCACCAAATACCCTAAACGTATTACTTTCTCAAGAAGATGAACTAGTCAGCGAGTTTAACTGGGTATGAAAATGTCACTATCTAGAAAAGCCTGTTGAACAATTCTTGTGTCCGTCGTCTCATACCATTGGCAAGACGCCGAAGCTTGTTCTAAGGACTCTCTTCTACGCCTGAATTAATGCAGTCCGTAATTTCCCAACTGTTTGGCGTTCTGAAGCCCGTGCATTGCATTTTTGTCGGAGATATCCCACACATGCTCATCTGGGTCAATGGCTGATGACGTCGTGGGATCGTCTCTGTCGCTTCTTTCTGAGAAAAGTGTGACACTGGTCGGGTTCTGTGTGGTTTGGCATTGTCGTTTATTATATTACGCCGACCTGCCAATGGATGAACATTTAATTGCGGAACACATGAAGATCCAAGGATCTTATTACAGTGTCCCTGCCAGTCTAAAGTTCCATCAAGGACTTACAAGCAAAGCTTACAGCTAGAGAAAAAGCATCCTTTAACAGTAACGCCACCACCTCTGCACGCTGTTGTTCCAAAAATGTGATAATGACGGTCTTGGACGCCTAACATGGACCCGTGTGTCGTGCTAGGTAATAAGAGTTTTCATCACCAAGACCTTATATTCCACATCCGACGATCACGTGCAGTCTTGCGTTTTGACGCCTCCCAGTCAATAGAGAACGTTTTTACCAATCGGCGAGAGCGAAGTTGCGCATGTGCAAATGTATGTTGAGAGTAGGCATAATTTGGTGGACATTGTCACGGTCCTCTCAGCCTGTTGGCAATGGTAACTGGGTCTCGCCTAGCCTGTCTACACAGAAGTCATATTTCTCTATTTGTTAGATCTGCCCGACCTGGGACGCTGGTTAACAAGCCCGGTTGGATTCCACGCTTCATTTACCAAGAAATAACAGAATGTCATACAATCTTGTACCATTCCAGAAGCTTGTCATCTTTCAACATTTGCAAATTTGCAACACACATTTTGAAATATACAGTATGAGTACGTTTATGATTTACCCGCCATTCACGCGCAAACACTGCAAATCTTAGCGCTACTTATCAGTGAGATGAACATTATCTTCGTAAAAGAAACATCAAACCTGAACTGACAGTAGCGTTTCCTGTAGTCGCCAGTTTGATGTATAATGTTTATGGACTTGACAGATGTATGAAGTTCGCTGTTGGCTTCCTCATCCTCGTGTAGGATTTTTAATAGCAAGCAGTACCAGTTAATAGTATTGCCCTTCTTTTTTAATTATGTATATGAGAACGTGCAAATCATAATGTAAGGTTAAATAAAAAAAACTTCCTGTTTTCAACAACCCTACTGACTATTAACTTTTTCATGGAATTTTCGAAGAAGCCTTATTAAAGTCAACCGTCATTCTCCTGTATAGAATTTGTTAAATTCTTTACCAGCCTTCCCTAAAGTTTTCAAAAGTGTTAAAACATCTTTCTTTCCTGGCTTTAGAATGCTTACCAAATTAACATTGATATTATATGAACTTTTAAGATGAATGAAATTTTATCATGATTTTTATCCTTGTGTGTGTTTTTTTTCACTCTTTACTGCGAATATACTGATCGCAATTCAAGCATGCTTATCTGAACTACATGGCGTTGCGATATTGACTCCCGGCAACATAGCCACGTTAAGTTCATCACCTCAATGTTACACCTGTACAATGGTAGAAGCGGCTTACTGGCCTAAATTTGTGTCTATGTTATCAGACTGGGTATTATCCTCAGACAAGCCAATGGCTATTACACTCGGAAAATACTGATTGTTCTGACATCTTAGGAAACGGTTGGTTACAAGAGACCTCTAATCCTGACCACAACACCCGTTAACATTTTAATATATAAAACTAATTTATTCAAATAAAAATGTCAAAGGTGTTATCGGTGTCACCCCTCCTGTTTACATCCCGAAAACCAAAGGCACGGACTTGGAAAATGACGGACGTCAACAAGAATCCCTTATATCACAAGACAGAATGTTTTACCAACTTTATTGTGACCTCTTCCCAAATACAGTGTATATACTGAATTAAAATAACTACAGTCACGTGATTACACAACAGAAATATTTTTTCTTGTATTAGACTACATACTATGGAAGCGTATTAATACAACTTTAAATTTTTTTCATTTTATGTTTTACACAAACAAATCTAAAAATGTTTACACGTTAATCCATAAATTTGACACCTTGATCTATCAATTTTATACGCTAATCTTTTAAATTTTACAACTAAATCTGAAAAATGGCTTTTATCTGTAAAATGTATATATTAATGCTTGACTTGTTTTCCGAGCGGTTGACAGGCAGTTGGCCGAGATTATTTGATAGGGTAGTGTAAAATTCACAGATTAAAGTGTAAAATTCACAGATTAAAGTGTAAAATTCACAGATTAAAGTGTAAAATTCACTGATTAATGTGCAAAATTTACATATTAATTGGTAAATTTTACACATTACAGTGAAAACTTTGGAGATTAATGTGTAAAATTCACAGATTAAAGTATACGATTTACAGATTAATGTGTAAAATTGGTTTTGCATATGGTGGTTGTTTGTTATCTGTCTACGACGATTATAATTCGTCATAGTGTTTATGATTAATGATAGTTAATTCTTGAGCGGAACTTTTGAGAGAAACGGATTAATAAGCTTCAGCCTCGTTTACAAACCTTCCGCCAGTCTATGTTTCGTTATGGATATCAATGATTTTATTTAAGTATTGTTTAAACATATTTGTCATGACGTTTATGTACAGTGAAAAAAGACGCAACGAAAACAACTTTTCAGTATAATTATTACGGAGTCGATTTTTTTTTTCTCAGAAAGTGTATGTACATTTTAATTGACCCAGTATAACTATATTCCTCCATATTATCACAGTATTCAAAATGAGGACTTGATTTCAGCCGCGCAATCCAAGACACGGTTACAGCCTTGTTATAATTACTGTCTCGACATGGCTTTATTTGGCGCCGAATCTAGCGAAAAGAAAGATAAATATTGACTGTTTTCAATTCTGTGTTAACTGTCTGACCTACTTCAGTATCGAGGCTGAATCCTTGTGTATTTCTATGGATCTAAAAGAAACTGATGATTAAATGACGAACTACCGCATCAATACAACGAGTTATGCAATACCGAAATGTTTAATCGCTATGACATGGAGGTGTCTTTTACTGAAAGTCAGGTAGATTCGACTAAATTTGAAAGACTTCCTGTCCTTGTTGTAATTAGTTATAATAATAATCTTGTCCGGAGATCGTCTCTATAATTTTTCAACCGATTGCTATTAAATTATGTAGGATTTGTAACCATTAAATGAAGTTGTGTTTTCCTGCACAACAATTTGATTAAACCGTTTCTAAACGAGTTACCGCCCCTTGCTATATCGTGTTGAATAGTTCGGTGTATAAAGGTGCTTAAACATCTGTTTTTATTAATTGTCAATGAAACTGAAAATAAGTTAAGAATATTTTTTTTAAATCTTCAAAATATTTTTTATTCATGTTTTCGATGGATATAAGACTTTTTAATCATAAAGATTAGCTTTTCTGATATAAAACGAGAAATTACAAAAACAACCCAAACAAAACAAAAACACGTTGAGAACAACAAAATTCTAGGGGAATAACGAAAATATCATGTCCAGGAATGATGAATGTTTATAAAGTAGAAAGTTGTATTTCAACGTGTAATAGATATGTAAACTTGCCACGAGAGAGGAATTCCATTAGTTAGTGATGTACATATATAATAGTTTGTGCTCTAGGCGGCAAACTTTTCATGACTACTTACATTTAATTGTAGTACGTAATCGGGGTACAAAGTAGAGTCATCTTAAGAGTGCAAATATTTAATTTTTTTTTTTTTTAAAAAAACGTCCCCACATTGAAAAGAAACTGACCAATGTCCGTTATGACATCAAGTCTGTGATCCTATCAGACACCGTGAATGGCTTCCACTACTCTATATCAGATGTCTTTTTGTAGGTAGCCATGACTATGTTTCGTTTGTGTAGGAGTTTAAATTCATTAATTACTCACACATTATGTATCTTCTTTGAATGTGATAACTCTGCGTTGCTTTGACAAATATTGAATTTGTTGATATTGATTAAATTTTTTATTTTCAATTTCTTTTCATAACCCCCCCCCCCCCCAAAAAAAAAAAAAAAAAAAAAAACAAAACAAACAAAAAAACAAAACAAACAAAAACAAACAACAAATAAACAACCTGACAAACAATTTGTGCGAAAGTATATAGGAATCACCTTGTCTGTCTTCTGTCCATCTGTCCAACACATTCCTTCTACATCGTTTGATTAAGGATTTCGTTAAAACTCGTTACATGATAGTACCGGCAAAACTATCATTTTTCAAAAGATAAAACAGCATCTATCGATTTATGTTCTTGCATGTTGTGATATTCAGCATGATATACAACACAATTTTACACACGTGTGACGCTTCTACACACCTGACACGTGGGTATAAAGCGTTACTTAATACATATGTGAAAAGAAACGTAAAAAATTAACAAATATTTTCAAATAAATAAATATAGACCCAATTTGTCAAACAGAAAAGGAAACAGGAAAGAGATATTTTTCCGTTGAAGAATTACTAAATAGAATCTATATAGATCACAATCGGAGATCATACAGTAGACATACCTGCATATATTTTTCATTTCAAATTTATAATTCCAAAGATTTAAAACATTTAGCTGTCGTTAGTGATGCTATGGGCCAAACAACGCCGGTGAATGGGATTTCCAGGGTAGAAATGAACCAAATGTGACCAAAGAAATTAAATGTAAAATTTGTTCGATATATTTGATACTTACATATACCATCTCGGTTGTCAGTTGCCATGGTTTTGCATGTTTTAGACAAATCCTGCGAGGATGGTGTTGAACTAGTTCCGTTATTTTTGTTCTTTCCACCTGTTTCTGCTGCTGCCTGACCCGGAAGTACAACCTCGTCTTTCGCACATGCTGATGTTTTATCCTTTTCAGTGAAATGAACAATTAAGCCGACGCCGATTGCTATGGCAACAGCCACCGACACGAAAATGACACCTGTAGTAATCTTCACAAAACAGCCTCTACGCGATTTGTACGAGGACGTCGCGCTGGCTGTTTCAGAAAATGTGAAGGATTCGTATTTTCCCATTATGATGGAGTGAATCCCTTGTACAACGAAAAATGTCTAGAAATACTGATAAACGATTTCTAGCTCCGTTTCGTCACATGTTGAACAGAGGTCAAAGGTTATGAGTTATTCTACGTATCAGAGATTTTGGTTGATTAAAATTACGAACTTAGAATATTTGTTTAGGTTTTCCTGGAACGTTTTTAACGATACCTAGGAGAGTATACTTCGGACAAACTGACCGCTGTCCACTACGCGATGTGACGGCTACTGGGGATCGGTACTCCGTCGACTCAAAGTGTGGTTACACTCTCAGAAGATGTATCCCATAAACCGCGGTGTTGTCGAACGGAAGTCATCAATAGCGTCTAAAATTATGTCAAACATTGGACATTTTATATACATAGGTAAAGATAACGTCACTCTATGGGACCTGGTCTGCCCTGTAGGCAATTTGTACGAGTAGATAAGATTGTTGACCATTGCTGCATTGCAATCACACTGTGGGACATTGTCTCATACCGAAAAAATAAACGTGTAAGAGTATTTCAAACTGCTTAGGGGGTGGGGTAGGGAACTGATTGATAAGCTGTGAGTGAGCCTTGTATTGAAGAGGTTAAGCAAGGGTGTCCTTTTTCAGCTCTACTATTCTCCGACTACTCTGTGTACCTGAAAACTGGTTTCATGATGTAGCACTTTGAAGTAAACAAGGAAATTGACTTTTGCAAAATGGGGCAGTGATTCAATATTTGCAGAAGAAAGGTCTATCACCTTAGGATACCAACACTGATATGGTAGCAACACTAGGAGATTATGCCCTTCATATGCGACAGTGAAAAGGCGGAGTGCGAATTAAGCGTGCAGACAGAGCCTTGGGGATGACGACCGTCCTTGAACCTGGCACTGTTGCAACCTCAGTAATGGTCAATAAAGTCCGTGATACTGTTATGACTGACAGGTGAGTTACAGAGAGATATATAGCCAGTACAGTTGGGATTTCACAGGAAAGAGTACATTCCCTTCTTATAGAAGATCTTGCAATGAAAAAATTCTCAGCCTGTTGGGTACCAAGACTTCTGACAGTTGATCAGAAGCACACCAGGCGGACTTTGTCGCGTGCTAATCTGAACCTTTTAAAGACAGATCCTACTAACTTTCTGCAGAGGTTTGTGACTATGGATGAAACATGGGTCTACCATTTCACCCCAGAGGCCAAACAGTCTAAACCATAGAAGCACCCTGGTTCACCCCAGCGAAATAAGACAAAGACTGTTCCATCAACTGGAAAGGTCATGACCTCAGAATTCCAGGATACTGATTTGGTATTCTGATGGTAGATTATTTGCAAAATGGCTGTCATTAACGATTGTGGCATTGAATAGATTGAGCATCGGTCTCTTTCGCTTGATCTCGCTCTATCGGACTTTCATGTATTTCCAACATTCAAAAAGGTCATTTCCGGTATCCATTTTTTTGAGTTAGTAAGTCGAAATTTCGAGTTGTTATCTCGAAATTTCGGGTGCGACTTACTAACTCAAAATTTCGGATTACTAACTCGAAATTTCGAGTTGCTATCTCGAAATTTCGGGTTAATTTCTCAAAATTGTCGGTTTAGTTATTTATACGAGTGGAATGGATTGTTGGCTCATTCTTCGTTATTATCACAGTCCAGGATAAGCCCTCAAAGCGAAAAATTTGCAGACAGACATTTCCAGGTTTATAAAGGTACTGGCCCCACTTGTATAAAACATCTCAACTTGAGATTTCCTCAAGTTGAGATTTTCCTCAGCTGATATCTCCTTGAAAATATCTTGTATGAAAATTCCTCAAGGAATTTCAGGACATCCTAGCCGATGACTTCCTCCTGTTCCTTGAGAAAATTTTATACAAGCCGTTTTTGAGGAGATATCAGCTGAGGAAAATTTCGACTTGAGGAAATCTCAAGTTGAGATGTTTTATACAAGTGAGGCCTGGTGTGATATGTTGTACAATCACATCCTGTGCTCCAAAATTTAGCGCCCTTGTAATCACTGACGAGTCCTAGAAAGAAGAAGTAGTGATACGATGCATTTTAAGAAAGGCACTTAACTTGTATTTTTTGTCATCGTTTCGAATTCGAATTTTTCGAATTAAACATATTTTATTGTAAATTATTTACCAAAGGATCGGGCACAAGTTATTTCAATTTATAGTTGGCTTTTCCTCAATACTTTACAAAACAAAAACATCACAATATCAAGTCATCAATAATTTACATAAATATTGGCTAAATATATTCATCGTTTGTTGATGAAATAGAACAAAATGTATTATAAACAATGCACAAAACACGTTACACAACAGCGCGATAACACGTGGGTATTGTTAGATTTCTACTAGAATCTATTTAGAGAGGAAAGTTTTAGTTTCATTGACAGTGACTGTAACAGCCGTATGAGACAATGGATCAAATTTATCGTTACAGCCGCGTGGGAAACGTTTTGGTAGTATAAGTAACTACTATATTGGCAAGTTGTTTGGTAGTTACCGTAACATCCGTATGGTACACGTTGTCTGTTAGTTACCGTAACTACCGTATGGTACACGTTGTTTGGTAGTTACCGTAACTAGCGTATGGTACACGTTGTTTGGTAGTTACCGTAACTACCGTATGGTACACGCTGTTTGGTAGTTACCGTAACTACCGTATGGTACACGTTGTTTGTTAGTTACCGTAACTACCGTATGGTACACGTTGTTTGTTAGTTACCGTAACTACCGTATGGTACACGCTGTTTGGTAGTTACCGTAACTAGCGTATGGTACACGTTGTTTGGTAGTTACCGTAATTACCGTATGGTACACGTTGTTTGGTAGTTACCGTAATTACCGTATGGTACACGTTGTTTGTTAGTTACCGTAACTACCGTATGGTACACGTTGTTTGTTAGTTACCGTAACTACCGTATGGTACACGTTGTTTGTTAGTTACCGTAACTACCGTATGGTACACGCTGTTTGGTAGTTACCGTAACTTGCGTATGGTACTCGTTGTTTGGTAGTTACCGTAATTACCGTATGGTACACGTTGTTTGGTAGTTACCGTAATTACCGTATGGTACACGTTGTTTGTTAGTTACCGTAACTACCGTATGGTACACGGTGTTTGTTAGTTACCGTAACTACCGTATGGTACACGCTGTTTGGTAGTTACCGTAACTACCGTATGGTACACGTTGTTTGTTAGTTACCGTAACTACCGTATGGTACACGTTGTTTGTTAGTTACCGTGACTACCGTATGGTACACGCTGTTTGGTAGTTACCGTAACTAGCGTATGGTACTCGTTGTTTGGTGGTTACCGTAACTAGCGTATGGTACACGTTGTTTGGTAGTTACCGTAATTACCGTATGGTACACGTTGTTTGGTAGTTACCGTAACTACCGTATGGTACACGGTGTTTGTTAGTTACCATAACTACCGTATGGTACACGTTGTTTGGTAGTTACCGTAACTACCGTATGGTACACGTTGTTTGTTAGTTACCGGAACTTCCGTATTGTACACGTTGTTTGTTAGTTACCGTAACTACCGTATGGTACACGTTGTTTGGTAGTTACCGTAACTACCGTATGATACACGTTGTTTGGTAGTTACCGTAACTTCCGTATGGTACACGTTGTTTTTTAGTTACCGTAACTACCGTATGGTACACGTTGTTTGTTAGTTACCGTAACTACCGTATGGTACACGTTGTTTGGTAGTTACCGTAACTACCGTATGATACACGTTGTTTGGTAGTTACCGTAACTTCCGTATGGTACACGTTGTTTTTTAGTTACCGTAACTACCGTATGGTACACGTTGTTTGTTAGTTACCGTAACTACCGTATGGTACACGTTGTTTGGTAGTTACCGTAACTACCGTATGATACACGTTGTTTGGTAGTTACCGTAACTTCCGTATGGTACACGTTGTTTGTTAGTTACCGTAACTTCCGTATGGTACACGTTGTTTGTTAGTTACCGTAACTACCGTATGGTACACGTTGTTTGGTAGTTACCGTAACTACCGTATGGTACACGGTGTTTGTTAGTTACCGTAACTACCGTATGGTACACGTTGTTTGGTAGTTACCGTAACTACCGTATGGTACACGTTGTTTGGTAGTTACCGTATGGTACGCGTTGTTTGTTACTTACCGTAACTACCGTCATATATGTTAAACACACCACCTTTTCTATATTTAGACACGCTGACTCCGAATGTACGTTCGTCATTACTCGCGTGTTTATTTTGACCAAGGCATGAACTGAACTGAACCATACCCCTTTCTGACGGACAATATCTTCATCGAGTTTGGTGGCGACATAAACTCACAATACAGAGTTTTGACATATGTAAGTTCATGAAAATTAATAGAGACGTTTCAGGGTCGTCAGAGTGATCTTATTAAGAAATGTTTTATTCCTCTGTGCGTTTAGAAACTGCACGTTTCTGATGCTTATTTGTTTGTCTGTTGGTTCCATTATTGTGTACCTTGCTCTCGATTAAAAACGTGACATAATTTACATGGTGAGTGTCCTCCATGAAGTAGAAGGCGCTTACTCTTCCGGAACACATGGTCTTATTCTTCTTGTAATTCTTTTGTTCGTATTCTGGCTCTGTTTTGTTTAATTGGGTTTGGATTATGATTTTGTTGGCGTTTGATATTAAAATTAGGCATATATCTCTTTACTGTAACAGGCACTGTGAAATTGTGTTAAATCCCTGAATTCAACTTGTTTACATATACTTGTTAGGCTACCATTTGTTGCATAAGTCTTATAATAGTCGCTGTTGTACACTTTAAAAAGATAAATAGGTGAATTGTTTAGTAAAGGACGTCTACTAGTGAAGTAGCTAATCTCCTGTTCTTTTTATTATCACAAAATTTATCCAAAAACAGACACATAAAAATGGAGTTCATATTTGTTCATACTAAAATATTTACGTAATAAAACGTAATTGTCGACATGAATATTTACAATTGATACTATC